CAGCTCCAGAAAACAACCAGGGGCACCAAGCAGAGATAGGCCCAGGTTTCCCTCCTTGGCTGTGGGTTGGGGTTGTAGGGTGAGGTCTGTGGCCTTACAGACTAGATTCTCTGGCTCTGGAGGCTGAGGTGCCGGAGAGAACCCCAGATTTATTCACAGGCTCCGTTTAGACAGTTTGTCTCCCCCACCCTCCTCCCTTGCAGAGCTCCTTGGGAGAGTAACACTGCTTCACCTTTGTGAAGTGATTTATGGTTTGCAGAGCACTTTCACACTGTTCCTACACATCTACATTTTAGGCAGGGTAGGTATTATCACCCTCATTTTGCAGATAGAAAACTGCGGCCCAGAAAGGTAAAGTGATTTGCTCAAGGATTAGTGGGTGTTAATGAGACTCAGACCCCACTTCTGATCCCAAGTTTAGTACTTTTTCTTTCCATCTCTTTATTTATATATTTTACTATAAGAGTGTTGCGCAAATACATTTTTGTTGCTAAGGTTTAAAACACTATAGAAATATGTGGAATGAAAGTCCCTTTACTCCCCTGCCCTTGTAGTTTAGTATGTATGAATTCAGTGCTTTTCCACTGTGCTTACTTTCAAGAAATGCTGTGTGGCATGGTGGCTAAGAGCACAGAGCCTAGAGCCGCAGGGCCTGGGTTTGAATCCTGACTCTGCCCCTTACTAGTTATATGACCTTGGGCAAGGTGCTTGAAGTGCCTCAGTTTTCTTATCTATAAAATAGGATGTTGGTAATAATACCTACCATATAGTATTGTTGTGAGCATTAAATGAGTTAATACATTTAAAGCACATAGAACAGGATCCAATAGGACTCAGCACATAGTAATTGCTATACGTACACAGGAGTTGACAATTACCAATACTAGGAAAATATATATATGTACTTAAATAAATGAGAAGTCATATTTTATGAATTAATTTGTGACTTGCTTTTTTACACTTAACATATCTTGGAGATCATTTTCGGTCACTTGATAGAGGTTTATTTATCAGCATTGTAGTATTTCATAGTATGGATGTTACCATACTTTATTCACTCACTCACCTACTAGAGAATATTTATACTGTTTCTGTTTTTTAACTATTGTAAACAATATTGCAGTCAACAGTTTTACAAATATATCTTTGGGCAAATGTCCATGGATTTTCATAGGGCATATTCCTAACAGTGGAATTACTGGGTCAAAGAGTTTACAAAATATGCAATTTTTAAATTAATATTGCCAAATTAACTTCCAAAAGTACTTCTATAAATTTACCCTCTCTCTAACAATATATGAGATGACTCTTTTTCTCTGCATCGTCATCAATCCCAGATAGTATCAGTATCTTTAATATTTGCCATTCAGTTGGTCTAGAAATGATATTTCTACAGGATTTACATGAAGAAAAGTCAATTGCTTTACTGAAAAGCAAGAAAGAAGACTTGCGTATACGGGAAGTTTTAAAGCCTAGCAATAAAATGGACACCTGTGTACTGAACACTCACCTTAAGAAATAGAACATTACCATACTTTTGAAGCCCCCAGGTTCCCTCCTATTCATAACCCTCTGTTTCCTCCACAGAAGTGATCACTGTCTTGAATTTTGTGTTTCTTTCCTTTTTGTTATACTTTTCCTACATGCTCAAGTAATATATTGCTTAGTTTGAACTTTGTATATGTGGTATCATCTGTATTCTATAGCTTAATTTTTAACAACATTAATTTTGAGATTCCTTAATGTCGATGCATGTAGCTGTAGTTCACAGTTGAATAGTAGTTCATTGTACTAATACACCACACTTTATTCATCCGTTTTCTTGTCGGTGGACCATCTGGGTTGTTTCCACTGTTTTGCCGTTGCAAGCAATGCTCTGTGAACATACTTCTATGTGTCTTATCTTTACACTTCTTACATCTATAAGTTTAATGAAATTGCCCCCCAAATAATAACTCATTATTGTTTTAACTTGCATTTCCCTGTTTACTGGTGAGGTTGAGCATCTTTCATAATCCATTAGCTACTTATATTTCTCCTTAGAGTTGCCTTTCTTCGCCTTTGCTGATTTTTTTCTTGTTTTCCCCCCTTTTCGTGTCTGCTTTTTCCCATATTCCATACTGCTTCTCTAAACTGAGTGTCCGAGTTTCTCAAAGAAAGGGAATTGGGAAAATTCCCTGACCACATCACCTGGAATTGATACAGCACATATTTTTTGAGAATCTACTCTAGGCCAGGCTCTGTGCTAAATAAGCTATCCATGCAATAAGGAGCTTATGATTTGATTGGGGGAGATGCATGAATAAGTAGTTATAGAGGAATGGAGTCAGTCTTATAGTGTAGGATATATAGAGTGCGGTGGGTGCAGGGGCCAGACTATGACTGAGGAGTGCTGGGGTAAGGACCCTCAGAGAAAGGATGCCCAAGCTGAGCCTTGAAGGCTGAATGGGAATTCTCCAAGGAGGCAAGGGAGAGGAGGGTGACCCGGGAAGAGAAAACATGTGCACCTATGGGAAGTGGAGCACATAGTGCATTGGAAGACATCAACAGAAAGAGAGGTTTAGATTTAGATGCCTTCCTACAATTGAATCAGGCAAGTTGGGGATAGTTAGAGTGTGGGGTACAGGTGGGGTACTGGTGGGAGTCTAGACATTATGTGGTATAGACAGTGATAGGCCTGATCATGAGGGGATTTTAATGCTGTGATAAGGAGTTGTAAATTTTTTGTTTGTTTTTAAAAAAATTTTTATTTAACAATAGCATACTTCTATGAAAGTGTATATATCATAAATGTACAATCAAGTAATTTCACAAACTGGACACACTCCTCCAACCAGCACCCAGATCAAGAAACAGAATTATTACCAACACCACAGAAGCCCCACCTTGTCCCCTTCTAGTCATTACCTACCCTTCTTCCTCAAGGGTAGCCACTATCCTGACTTCTAAAGCATATATTAGTTTTGTTTGTTTTTATACTTTTTGTGTAAGTGGAATATATCATATAGTATACTTTTGTGATGGAATTCTTTTGCTTAACATTTCTCTGAGGTTCATCCGTGTTGCATGTACAGTAGTTGATTCTTTTTCATTGTTGCACAATATTCCATTGTATGACTATATCACAATTAACTTATCCATTCTACTCTTGATGAACATTTGGGTAATTTCTAGTTTTTGGCTATTATGAGAAATGCTATGCCATTGTTTCTTTGAGTACCTTTTCTACTTGCTTCTCTCCATCTGGAATTCTGATGACATAAAAGGATGAGATGACCTCTCAAGGCCCCAGTCCAGCCTAGTTGTCCGTGCTCTTCTAGTTAGAATGCATGGGTTCATGAAATATACTGGACTTGATGATCTTGATTGGCTAATAACTCCTTTGTTCTGGCTGAGGGATGCCCCAGCTTTTTCCAACTGCCTCCAGGTGTGGAGAGATGGTGTTTTAATCAAAGTGCATGTCTGTGTCCTGGGGAAAAAGAGCTGGCAGCCCGTTGGCTATTTTGAAGTAATTTCATTTTTTGAATGTTTTCTTGACCTAGATGTCACGTAGCACTCACTACGCATTCAGAAAATACTTACCTATGTTAAGGTCTGTGGCAGACAGCAGCCCACAAGGAGTTAACAATTAGAAGGGGCAGTTCCTCATGGAATGCAAATAACTGAGTGGCAGGTGCCAAAGGAGGCCCGTGATGCTGAGGGAGCGCAGGGAGGGGAGGGTGTGTTTCCCACAGGATGTAGGGAATCATCATGGAAGATGTGGCATTTGAATGTGAAACTCTTGAGGGACTTGCAGATGCTCCAGGTGAAAATGGGAAGAAAGGACTTTTAAGGCAAAGGAAATGATGAGAGCAAAATCACTGAAGTGGGAAAGCATGAGATGTATTGGATGAGGGGCAATGAGGAGCAGTAGCCAGAGAGGTGAGTTGACCCAGATTGTGGAGGGCCTTATATGCCACACTAAGGATCTGGGTTTTATCTGGTAGGAATTAAGTGTTTTTGTAAAACCAGCTGCTTCGTTGCCAGGATTGGGAAGGCTTAAGGGCCATGTGGTAGTGCTTCCTGTCTTTCCTAAATTAATCCAATTCATTCCAAGAAGTGGGAGGAGGCTAATATTTGAGTAACTCCCTCTTATGTGGCAGAGAACAACCTCCAGACGTTTTCAGTTAATCTTCAACAGAAACCCCTCAGTTGGATAGTATTATTCCCATTTTACAGTGAGAACCCTGAGAGTTAAGTATCTGACCACACAGACTGATTTATTTTCCACCAGGTTGCTCTTTTTTATGTAGGAAGGACTATTTCCTGCCCAGAGAAGCTTCTCCCAACTCCCTGGGCAGAGTCCATCCTTTCTTCCTCCTTTCCTTCCATCAGACATTTGGAAGGTTAGGAGGGTTCCTTAAAACCTGCTAAGAGTAAGACGGTGTTTATACTTCTGGACCTCAAGGCAGGGGATGACCAGAAGTCCTTAAGGCTGCTTTCTTCCTTGGGTAGCTCAGCACCCATCTTCCCTTCATTGCCTGGGAGGGGCATGTACTCCCCTTTCATGCTGTCACAGTATTAAAGCTGGAAGGAGCCTTAGAGACTGTTAGGCCAACCTCTTATTTTTCCTGTGGGAACCGGGAGCCCAGAGTTGCTAAGCTTCTCGGCCACCTCTATGCATAACACAGGTTATTGTGTTTGGTCCACTCTGCATTGCTGACCCTCTCTCAATGTTATTATATCCCCAAATCTCCAGGCCCCTACTTTTTCCATACGTTTTTCCTCTCAGGTTTTCTATTTTTCCCACAATGTGGTTTTTAAACCTTCTCTGAGTTACGAAAAAAATCCTGCTTCTTCCTTTGAAATTAGGCTAATATCTAGATAAATACCTATTGTCTTGCCTGCTTTCATTTGGATAATTTTTGTGTGGTTCATAGAAATAGGGATTTAGATTTAGGTACCTTCTTATAGTTTGGTTTAGGAAAGATATCCTAGTCTTGTAAAGTGCATGATAACTTCCTGGTTGGCTGTCAGGGGCAGAAATTCTGGATTGGGGATGATCCATCCAAGGATGCCCTCTTCAGGTTTGGGGAAAGGGGAGTCCATACAGTGTGCTTCCTGTAATCCGAGGACCAGGGTAGCCCCTCTGGAGCTGCATGGAGCAGCGTGCTGTGTAGTCTCTGGTGTGGTGTAAAGAGCACTGTCAGAGACCCCAGAGACATCCTGCCACCCAGGAGTGACCTGATCTTAGGCACACTAATGTCACCTCTCTGGACTTCAGCTTTTCTTGTCCATGAAATGGCGATAATAAGGCCCACTCCACAGGGCTGGCAAAAGTGCACCTGTATCAGGAGTAGACTGTAAAGGTAAGGGATTATTGTTGCTGTCATTGTCATTATTAGGGCAGCGTGGACATTCTCAGGCTGACTCTCCAGAGTGAACTGACAGGAGAGGAACTTGAACACATAGCCCAGAAGGTATCAAGGTTTCTGGTGGGGTGAGGCCTCCTCCCCTCAGCCAGTTCTTCTTCCTTGCTGCTGACCCCTCATCCCAGTGCTGCCTGGAGCCATCTGCTGCTGCTGCTCGGGAGCATCTCCTTTCAGACACACCAGCTGACCTCAGCATTGTGCGCTGCTTTGGGGGATGGGGACACCCCCACTAAAATGAAAACTAACCTGCAATTTCTACTAATTTTCCCCATCCGGTGTTCTTGCTGCTGTGTGGCTTCTGGTAGAGGTTCTGAAATGAATTTTTGGAGGGGAAAATCCGACTAACCCGTCAAGTGTTTTGAGGAGCAGGTCTTCTGCATTGGTCGAGGTGTAGAAGTTCGGGGCTTGTCATATGATTTCTCAGCCACTTCTCTCTCTTTCTGGTAGGCGGGCAGGAAGACCTATGCCATGGTGTCAGGCCGCTCAACCAGTCATTCTCTGGCCTCAGAACTGGTGGAGTCCAATGATGGACATGAGGAGATCATTAAGGTAAGCTTAGTTTACCTCCACTTTTTCTCCCTCCTCTCTTTCTCCCTATAGGCATGCGAGAGGGAGCGGCTGACTTTGCCAAAGGGAGCTTGTGGTATGACTGGGAAGAACCAGACCTGCAATGCTAATTCCTGGAAAGATCTTAATTAGCACCAGGAGACCACAGTCAGTCTGTAGTGACTTTGGTGCAACCCAGCCCCAGGCATGGAGATGGATGGGATGACCTTTCTAGGTGCCTATCTACTGTCCATGTTTAGCTGCTGGAGGTTGTGGAGACAGATAGGAGGTGTGTTTATGGAACTTATTTTTAAAAATTAGAACAATTGTTCTTGTTTCTTTTTTAAAAACAGCTTTTTGAGATATAATTCACATACCATACAATCGACTCAAAGTGTACCATTTAGTGGTTTTTAGTATATTCATAGAGTTGTGCAATTATCACTGCTGTTAATTCCAGAATATTTTCAGTCATTCCTTCCAGTCCTGGCAGTCACCAGTCTACTTTTTGTCTCTGTGGATTTGCCTCTTCTAGACATTTCATATAAATGGAATCATACAACATGTGGCCTTTTGTATCTGGCTTCTTTCACTTAACATAATATTTTCAAAGTTCAGCCATGTTGTAACATATGTCAGTACTTATTCCTTTTAATGACTGAATAATATTCCCTTGAATGGATATATCACTTTTTTTTATTAAAGCTTCAGTGCATGGTTGTGTATCCTAGTCATTAGTTTCAATTCTCTATCTGAGCTGCTGCCACAGTATGACAACTGACAGAGGGATGGTGTGGTTCCACAACCGGGAACTAAACCTGGGCCGTGGGAGTGAGAGTGCCAAATCTTAACCACTAGACCACCAGGGCTGGCATGGATATATCATGTTTTGTTACCCATTCATCAATTGATGGATGTTTGGGTTGTTTCCACTTTTTGGCTGTTATGAATAATACTGTTATGAATATTCATGTGCAAGTTTCTGTGTGAACATATGTTTTCAGTTATCTTGGTATATACCTAGGAATGGAAATGCTAGGTCATACGATAACTCTATATTTAATCTTTTGAGGAACTACCAGATTTACTTCCAATTTTTTTCTTCCAGACTGCTCCATTTTACATTCCCACCAGCAATGTATGAGAGTTCCAATTTCTCTACATCCTCACCAACACTTGTTATTATCCATCTTTTTAATTAGAGCCATCCTAGTGAAAGTGAAATGGTATCTTGTTGTGGTTTTAATTTGAATTTCCCTAATGGCATCTTTTCATATGCTTATTGCCCATATGTATATCTTCTTTGGAGAAATATTTATGCAAACCCTTTGCCCATTTAAAAATTCAATTGTGTTTTAATTGTTGAGATATAAGGATTCTTTATATATTCTGGATACTATATCCTTATCAGAAATATGATTTCGGGGCTGGCCTCGTGGCGTAGCGGTTAAGTGCGCGTGCTCCACTGCTAGCGGCCCAGGTTTAGATCCTGGGTGCACACCGACGCACCGCTTGTCAGGCCATGCTGTGGCGGCGTCCCACATAAAGTGGAGGAAGATTGGCACGGATGTTAGGTCAGGGCCAGCCTTCCTCAGCAAAAAGAGGAGGATTGGCACAGATGTTAGCTTAGGGCTGATCTTCCTCACAAAAAAAAAAAAAAAAGGAAGAAAGAAATATGATTTGGAAATGTTTAAAAATTTTGTTCTCATTCTGTGGGTTTTTCTTTCTTTCTTTCTTTTTTTTAACTTTCTTGATGATGTCCTTTGAAACAAAAATTTTTAATGTAATTCATTTTGTATATATTTTTCTTTTGTTGCTTGTGCTTTGGTGTTGTATCTAAGAAGACTTTGCCTAGCCCAAGGTCATAAAGGTTTATTCCTGTATTTTCTTCAAAGAGTTATAGTTTTAGCTCTTATGAATAGGTCTATAATCCATTTTGGATAAATTTTTGTGTATGGTGTGAGGAAGGCGTCCAATTTCATTATTTTGCGTGTGGATATCCATTTTTATCAACATCATTTGTTCAAAAGACTGTTCTTTCCCCCATTGAATTGTCTTGGCAACCTTGTCAAAAATCAGTTGAGTGTATTTTTATTACATTATTATTTATGGACTCTCAGTTGTAGTCCATTGATCTACATGCCTATCCTTATAGTAATTCCACACTGTCTTGATCACTGTAGCTTTGTAGTAATTTTGGGTTTTTTTCCAGATTGTTTTAGCTACTCAGGGTTCTTTGCATTTTCATATGAATTTTAGGATCAGTTTTTGTCAGTTTCTGCAAAGAAGCCAGCTTGGATTCCGCCTCCCGCCCCCCCAAAGCCCCAGTAGATAATTGTACGTCATAGCCGCACATCCCTCCAGCTGCTGCATGCGGGACGCGGCCCCAGCATGGCTGGAGATGTGGCGCGTTGGTGCGCGCCGGGGATCTGAACCCCGGGCCGCCAGCAGCGGAGCGCACGCACTCAACCACCAAGCCACGGGGCCGGCCCTAGCTTGGATTTTAATAGGAATTGTGTTGAATCTATAGATCAGTTTGGGGAGTATTGCTATCTTAACAATATTAAGTTTTCCAATCCATGAAGATGGGATGTTTGCTCATTTTCTTTTTAGGTCTTCTTTTATTTCTTTCAACAATGTTCTGTAATTTTCAGAATACAAGTCTTAAGCTTTGTTAAATTTATTTCTAAGTACTTTTTCCTTTTTGTTGTTATTATAAATAGAATTGTTTTCTTAATTTCATTTTTGGATTGTTCCTCTCGAGTGTATAGAAATACAACTATTTGTTGTATATTGATCTTGTATCTTACAACTTTGCTGAATTCATTTATTTGTTCTAATAGTTTTTAAGTGGATTCCTTAGGATATTCTAAATACGTGATCACGTCGTCTGCAAACAGAGATAGTTTTACCTCTCCCTTTCCAATCTGGATGCCTTCAATTAATTTCTTTTTGTTACTCAAAGTCATTGCATGGCCCTTGAAGAAAGTAAAACTACCCCATCATTCTATCAATGTAATCATTGTTAACACTTTGTGTATCCTCCCAGACATTTTCCTATGCATAGTACTTTTTAAAAAAATAAAATTGTATTATACATTCTATTCTACAATTTGCTTGCCTCCCACACTTTTATGGTAGTTTTAATGTCTTCTGTGTCCATAAAGGTAAATGTCTGGCATTCTAATGGCTGCATTGTTTTGTATTATAGAAATACCATAATTTAAGTAATCCTTCATTGTTGGACATTTTGTCTGTTTCCATTTTTTTGCAGCCATAAACAATATTTTGCTGAACATATATGTTACTAAATTGTGTATGTGTTTTATAATACAAGTAATAAAGAAATATTTTCTCAATTGTAAAGATTCAAGCATGCTGTACAGAGAAAAATGTGTAAATTCCCTCTTACAACCCTCTTTCCATGAATTTACATATATACGTGTGTTTATGCCAGTTTAGCGAATTAATTTCATTAGGATAAATTTCCAGAAGTAGATTTGATAGGTCAAGGAGTAAATATGGTTTTAAGTCTTCTGATCTGAAGCACCAAATTGCCACCCAGAAAGGTGGTAACAACTTACCCTCCCACCAATAGTGTACGAGGCTGCCTGTGTGGAATTAATTTAACTGGAGGTTTCTTAACTAAATAGTATCGTTCTCCTTATTTCAGGTGTACTTGAAGGGGAGGTCTGGAGACAAGATGATTCATGAGAATAATATTAACCAGCTGAAGAGTGAGGTCCAGTACATCCAGGAGGTGGGCATCCCTTCTCTCTGTGGAAATGACCTAGGTCATTTCTCTAAACCTCACACTTTTTTGGCTCCCTTTTCTTGTGGGTTCCGATTTTCTCCCTTCTGCTCCCTTCATATCTCCAAAGTGCCACCTTATGCCCCTTAATGTGTCAGAAATCATTTCTGACCCTTCCATTAGTTCATTAATCCATTAATCAGCAAGTACTTATTAAATACCATATGCTAGCACTATCCCCTAGCCTTCCTATCTAAAATTGCTAACCTCGCCTCCCAAACTTTGCCTAACCCTCACCCTGGCTCATGTTGCTCCTTGGCACTTGTCTTTTGTATTGTATGTCTGCCCAACTGGAGTGTCAGCTCCACCAGGGCAGGGGTTTTGTTTATTATGTTGCTTGTGTAGGAGGGACTGGGCTGCAGCCCCACTTGCCTGGAGTCCCTCCTTCCCCCAGCCAGTGCTTAGAACAGCACCTGACTCATAGGAGTACAGGTTGGGGATGGCTACAGAGTGGGGTGAGTTGGTGTGCTCTTCTTCCCTATCCCAAAGCTAAAGCTTCTTGCCCTCCCCTCTCAGGCCAGGAATTGCCTACAGAAGCTCCGGGAGGATATAAGTAGCAAACTCAACAGGGATCCAGGAGATTCTCTCCATGAACAGGAGATACAGGTAATAGGAAATGGTCCCCACTGAAGAGGTGGGGTTGTGCCAGGGAGTCCCATTTACCAGTCACCCAGTGGGTGCTGAATCTAACACCACTGCCAGGAAAGGAGAGAATATAGGTGGTGCTGGCTTCTCAGAGCACTTACAACCTTGTTAGGGCTCTCCAGCATTTACACATATCAGCCCATGTATAAATACACTTGTTCCTAAAACACTGTACAAAAACTGAATTTATGTAAAAAGATTATTGTTAAGTTATTGGCATAACCTCTTATCTATAAGGATTCTGTGATCAATCTTCTTGTAATACAAAGTCTTTTTTTTTTTTCTTGTGAGGAAGATTAGCCCTGAGCTAACATCCATGCTAATCCTCCACTTTTTGCTGAGGAAGACCAGCTCTGAGCTAACATCTATTGCCAATCCTCCTCCTTTTTTCCCCCCAAAGCCCCAGTAGATAGTTGTACGTCATAGTTGCACATCCTTCTAGTTGCTGTATGTGGGACGCGGCCTCAGCATGGCCGGATAAGCGGTGCATCGGTGCACGCCCAGGATCCGAACCCGGGCCGCCAGTAGCGGAGCGCATGCACTTAACCGCTAAGCCATGGGGCCGGCCCTACAAAGTCTTACAAAGCAGACAGTCACCTATAAATCCAAACTTCTCATAAGTTGATCTTGCTTAATTTGGGTGACACCTGTAGTGTGAATTGGAAGTCTTGGTCCTTGTCTGTTATTTATCTGTTGTATGTATAGCTATTGCTACCCTGGGGTGGGACACTCCTTGAGGTTAGTGTTCACCTCCCATCTCTGTATCCCCATCCCCAGCACAGGGTCTGGGATGCAGAAGATCATCAGGAAATGTTTGTTAGGCTGAACTGATTGGAGAAGGCTTCTTGGGATGGATAATCCTGGGACTCTGCTTTTCAGCTTTTCCAAAATTTGAGGATAGAAAAGTCCTAAGGAGAGCAGAACTGTCTCTTCCATGACTTCACCCTCATCCTTTAGATTCTGAGTTGTATCTCCTTCATTTGCATTTGGTTTAGGTGGGGTGGTCTTTCACTCTTAGCCCTTGCCCTCATTCTCTTGAGGGGAACAGTGACCTAGCAGCTAGTGCCAGCAAAGTTCCTCTTTGGCTTGGGCGTGTACTAGGCTTGTGTGGCGGATTCCCCGTAATTCATTTTGCTTTGGCTGAAGGTAGGATTTCCACTGCCTGAGCTCACATCTGGCTGGTGGAGGTGCTTTGTCAGGTGACTGAAGAAACTAATGTGCTCAGAGACTGGCCCAAAAGTCCAGGCCCCTTGTTTGCACGAACTAGCAGTCGTACAATGAATAATTAGGCTTTGGGTTGGAAAGAATTGCAGCAAATGCTGCTTCTCCTTGTGATTTATGCTTTGTCAAGCATTGTCAGGATCCCTGAGGGGCAAGGGAAACTGACAGGCAGCTGCTTGTATTCCCTGGGCTTCGAGGAGTGGGCCTGCATATTTTCCAGTCTGCTGAAAGATGTTAGCTGAGGTTTCCTTCATCCTCCCTACAAGGCTGAAGTATTCCCTCTCAAGGCCGTGCACGTTTCTCCACCCCTCTCCTTTCTATTTTCCCAGAGCACTGGAAGTCTTTTTTTCCTTTTCTTCCTCCTCTTCCTCTACCTCCTCCCCTACCTCCTTCTCTCTCTCTCTCCTTCTTTCTCTCTCACTTTCTTTCTTTCTAAGATTTGAGATCTTAGAAGAATAATGTTTCGAAGTTGGTTGCTTGGGACTGTTTTAACTACCAATTTTATTTTTCGTTGAACAGGTGGTGCTAGAAAAGCCAAATGGCTTTAGCCAGAGTCCCACGACGCTGCATAGCAGCCCACCTGAGGTAGGTGGCAGGGAAAACATTGGTAACTACTCCTTAGCCAGGAGGCAGGAGATCGTCTTCCCTCATCCCTTTGGTTATTGCTTTCTCTCTCTCACTAAGTATAAGAGTAACAGTAAGAGTTACTGGCTGTAAATATTCAAACAATGGAGAAACATATAAAGCAGTAACTCTCTTTCCCCAATCCCACTCCTTGGAAGTATCCACTGTTAACAGACTGAAGTGGGTGGACCCTTTTAGAGCAGTGCTTCTCAGCCTTCAATGCCCGCTGGAATGGCCTTGGGGGCTTTAAAGGATACAGTGCCTGTGTGCCAGCCCCAGAGACTGTAATTTAATTGGTCTGAGATGTGGCCTGGGTGTCAGGACTTTTAAAAGCTCTTCAGGTTATTCTAATGTTTAGCCGAAGTTGAGTACCAATATTCTAGAGTGTTTTTCTATACACAGACAACCGTATTTAAATACCATGTGTATATAGATATGTATATTGATATATACACATGTACCATATATACATGTATAAATTATGTCTATATAATATTCACATATTCTTCACAAATACAGGGTCATGATAAATAGATTATTCCTTGCTTTTTTTTAAATTTTTTTAAACTGAAGCCTATATTATAACCTTCTTTCCATCTTAGTACATGTGGATCTACATCATTCTTTTGAGTAATGACATAGTATTTCCTTCCATGGCTGTACTTTTTCTTTTCTTTCTTTCTTTTTTTTTTTGTGAGGAAGATTAGCCCTGAGCTAACATCTGCTGCCAATCCTCCTCTTTTTGCTGAGGAAGATTGGCCCTCAGCTACCATATGTTGGCCTTGAGCTAACATTTGTGCCTATCTTCCTCCATTTTATACATGGGGTCCCTGTCACAGCATGGCTTGATAAGTCCGTGCCCGGGATCCGAACCTGCGAACCCCAGGCCACTGAGGCGGAACGCATGAACTTAACCACTACGCCACCGGGCCAGCCTAAACTTTTTCTTTTTTTAACTTTTTTCCCTAGATTTATTGAGATGTAATTGACAAATAAACATGGCTGTACTTTTTCTTAAATGACATTTGTTATTATATTTTTGTGATTATATAGTAATATAAGACATGCTTATTGTAGAAAATTTGGGAAATTCAGAAACACAGAAAAGTGAAAGAAAAAATATCAATTGTAATCTGCCCAGAGAAAAACCACAGTTTGGTGAAATTTCTTTTGTCTTTCCTTCAATGCAAATATATATTTACAATACTGAGATTATACTGTATATAGCATTTCTTTGTATTTGTTTCTTTGTTTGGGGTGGGTATTTTTTTGGATTGGGTTTTTTTGGCCCTCAAGTGCAGAGTTGAATCAGACCTGCCCATCAGTTCGGGATACATTGTCATCATTGGTCCCATGATGGCTTCTCACTGGTTTTACTTTTCTTTTTTTCCTCTCCGCTGCCCCAATAAAGGGTACTCTAATATATTCAATATATGATTTAAATGTGCCTGTTACATATGTTTTCAATTTTCGTAATGAACTTGTACTGTATTTCTGTTTTTTCCATTTTTATCCAACACCTGTTTTTAGAATCTACCTTGCTGTGTTAAAATCTAGTTTGTTGTTTCTTACTCCTACATGTAAAGTTTTATAATTTCCTTTTTTCTCTTCATACTATGTCATGAAAATTTTCTGTGTCTTTGTGTAGTCTTATGAGAACGTCATCTGAAATAAACACGTAATAGTTATGCTCCAAGAGCCTTCTAAGTTATTCTCACCTGCCCAGCAGCTTAGGTACAGATGTAGGGGAATTATAACTTATTGACGGCTAGATTGGAATGTTGTGATTCTACCACTGACTTTAGATGTGAGTTTGGATTTTTCCCTTCTCCCAAATTACCATATTTGGCAAATATGCTGTTGACAACAAGTTATAATAACACCCAGTATTATCTGTTCAGCCTCTTTCTTCTCACAAGCTCCAGGCCCTACTGGATATTATCTTACTTATTTTTGAGGCAGCCTGTAAGGCAGGGCGTGGTGAGGCGTCTTCTCACTGTTCACAGATAAAGAAATGAAGGCCCATAGGACTCAGTAATAAGGCAGCAACTGGGACCCTGTTGCCCTCCTCCCCACCGAGAACTCTACACTCTAGTTTGAAGGTGTTGCTGCTTCTCACTGTGCAAGATGGGGAGATTTTTCTGTCAGGCTCACAGGGAGCTGCTAACTGAAGTGTCTGGTGTCTGTGTGGCAGAGATGGGGGCGAGACCCTACATGCCAGCTCAGCCCTAACTACCAACCCACGATTGGGTGTGTCTGGGGGAAAGACTCACAGTAACCTCGATGAGACACCTTTGCACACATCGAATCAGATTCCTGGACTTATGGGTGCCTTTCCCTAAACCTGCCTGTCCATCAGTAACCCTTTACATGCTAATCTCTGTGCTAGGTGCAGAGAACAATGAAAGATGTGCCTTTGGGATGTGCCCCTCGTGATGGGTGTGGCACATTCCCTGCCATTGGGGAACTGTTGTCCAAAGGGGAACATGGTCCCTGCTCTCAGAGAGCTCGAGTCCAATGGACGCAGGACACACACATGAGGACAGCATAAACCTACTTGTTAATCAGTCAGTTGATACATGTATAGCAATTACTGAGTATGTCCTAAATTACCCACCTAAATAATTGGGTGATTTGATGCTAGTTAAGTTCTAGGGTATGAAGAGAAGAGAGTGTTTTCATATGAATAACTCAGAACTGCTGAGTGCCTAAGACTAACTCTCCTCTTGTATGATGAAAATTCTTTAGGGAGGGTGGTCTGGACAAGATGGTCCAAACAAGTATGCATGTGAGGGGGTGCCTTCTCTTACCCAGTTACAAACGTATTGGCTTCACCTTGCCTTCCCTGCTCTGGCCATAGGCGAACACCTATATAAATGAAGATGCCGAGAGCTTGAGGAAGACCGTGCAGGACTTGCTTGCTAAGCTGCAGGAGGCTGAGCGGCAGCACCAGTCAGACCGTGTGGCTTTTGAGGTGAGACTTGGGATTTGGGGAGAAGGTGCCCTAAGCGTTCAGCTGCTGGATGCAGGTGCCAGTGACTTTCTCGGCATAGACGTCATGTCTTTCTGGCTGGGTGCCATCAACTAGAAAGGCTAGGCTTTGGGGCCTGGGGCACTTCCTATCTGCTTTTCCCTCTCCTGGATATTTACAGTTTTTGCTGTGTAAGTCTAGCCCATAGTTTGAAGGTCAACTCTTGAGTCTCTGCTCTACTAAAGTTGAGCAGTGGTGCTGGTCTGGGATAGCAGGTAATTCAGAAGTTGTTTCTGTAAGTTCCACAGTAAGAATTACTGGGTTCTAGGCACCATACAGGGAAGGGCCATTGCTGTCAAGTTCACCACTGCATCCCCAGTGTCTGGCACAATAATTGGTATAAGGTGGGTGCCTTATAAGTGTGGACTGGATGAGTTGATGAATCTGTGTGGTCATAGAAAGAACTGTGCCCATGGAGTCAGAGGACTTTAGATAGAAGATTAAAAAAATACAAAAGTCTATATAGAGAGAGTAAAGCACCCCACTACTAAGTGTGAGGTCTTCCATACTTTCCAGAAAATTCTTTGAGTATAAAATGAAGTACACTGGGCAGTTGTTTTAGCTAGTCTGTGTAAGGTTAACCGTCTGTTATCTGCTGTTGTTCATCCACATGGAAAGTATTTTTTATGTCATAAATATGTAATGATAGGATTATGCCCTGCCCAGGCATGCCAGAAGCTGGTGGAGAGAGGAAGCCAGCCTGAACTCCTCTCTTTCATGGGACTAAGAGAGAATTTTTGAGAGGAAGATTGAGGGTGAGGAAGAAGGGCACTGAGAAGGATCAACTGCCTACAGAGTAGTTGAAGTCTTACTTGAGCAAGTAATTTAGCCTCTCTCAGCATCAGTTTCAACTTTTTCAAAAAGGGGTCATGAAATATACATCACAAGTTCAGTGTGCGGATTAAGTGAGATAGTATTTGTAAATATATTCCTTATAGGGTTTCAGAAACATAATTATCCTGTATTTTTCTTAGCGATCACTTTAACAAGCAGGTTAAATAGTTTAGACTTAGGGTGATACTGAGATTAGTTTGGCCTCAGAACAAAGTAGCTGTACAATCAAGGAGTTAGGTGCATCTATTTCAGATTACACAATTTGGATAATTTGGTTGGTGATGTATCAGTGTGGTGACCAGCTGTTCCCTACTTTCTTGGAGCAGAACAGGAGGATGGGAAGGTTGAGGCTGCAGCACTGACCAGACTGAATTTTGGAAAGAAATTTCTGCATCGAGGGGCATTATGAATTACTTGTCGGTTTTGGCCACACACAGAGGGCTCTGCTAGTCACGTGCCCATGGGTTCTTAGAAGGGGCTGCCTTTCAACCCCATGGTACGTAGCACCCAGCTGCAACAAGAGGTGCTCTCTGGGCTGTTCCCACTATTGGGGTAGTTGGTACAGCCTCTTATGATTAAGAGATTCCTTTAGGGCAGGGCTGGTTGGAGCTGTAGGGACAGGTGTGGCAGGGGAGTGTGTTTTTTTTCCTTTGTGATCTTACCGCAGGATGTGAGGATCAGTCCATGGCCCGTTAACACTGTGCTCCAAGCACACATCAACCTGGGTGCAGTGTTTATGTACAGAAATGAGAGACCTTGTTTTTAAGTTCCTGCCCATGGGGCTGGCCTGTTCTAGGCTAATATGAGACTTTTGAAGGCTTTTCTCAGTCTCTCCTAGTGAATTAGACTCTCTGGTCTACTTTTTTGAACCTGGGGGTAGGAAGGGCAAGATTGTCAATTACCATGAAAATAACCTGCCATTAAGCATGGATTTCTCGTTCTACTGGCTGCTTGCTGTCTGGAAGGATTTGCAGCGAGTTTGCTGCAGACAGGGCTAGTGTGCTGCATGGATACTTCCCATCTCACATCATCCTGTGCTTTCCTTTCTCCTCCCTGATTCTGACTTGAGGAGCAGCCAGACAAACTAGCTGCTGGTGTTCTATTTTCCTAGGGCTGGTTAGACTTTCCAGAGGTTACCTGGATTCTTTTTTAGCAAGCGACTGGGGAGTCAGTGTAGGGTAACTGGAAAGCATTGACATGGATGGTAAAGTAACTGGGTTCTAGCACTGGCTCTGTCATTCACTAGCTGTGTAACTTTGAATAGGTCAGTTGACCTTTAGTTGCGAAAGGAGAGGGTTGGACTAGATGAACATCAGTTCCATTCACGACTTTATAGAGCAGTGACTGTGTGCTGGGTACTCTGCTGAGCTCTGGAAATGTAATGGTGCCCAAGGTCTCTGCTGTCATGAAGCTGACGGTCTACTGTGGGGTGCACACAAGTGACCGGGCAAAATCCACTCAGTGCTGTAAGAGAGAAGAGCTGTGTGTCCTCTGCGGGCACGCAAAGGAAGGGCTACTCACCCAGGCTCAGAGGCTCTCTGGAAGAAGGAGTGTCTAAGCTGAGACCTGAAGGATAATTAGGAGTTGGAAAAATGCATGTGGGAGGGAAGGAGGCAAGTTCTTACTTTACTTTTTTGTTCTAAAATTCTGCTTCTATCTTTTTCCAAATTGGTTTATCATCTGAGATAAAAAACAAATTCTTCCTGGTGCTTGGTAGCCCTCCAGGTACCATTTTGGCCTTGTATGCAGGCCGCTGTATTGCTTTAAGTGAGGGCGAGGAAGAGTGGGGAAACAGAAGGAAGGACATGGAGATACCCTCCCCTGGATTCTTTGCGTTTGCATTTGTAAGAAAGCCATGACACTGGGTTAAGCTTGGGTGGCACTGGAGGACTGGTGGGGATGTTGAAGTCAGCCATCTGGAAAGTGGTGCTTGGGGGTCCAGGTGTCACTGTAAAATAGAGCTCTGTCAACACTCTGCCAATTAACCCTGGGAACAGAGTTAATCTGCTAGTCTCCTGAGTGGTCCTAGCACAGTGAATGGGAGATGGCGGTGTGCTCATCAGAGTTGCCTCCCTTCTCCCATCACTGCACCCAGATTCCTAGGTTCTTTTCTAAGATTTTTATCCACATTTGCTCTTTTCTTTCCCCCCACTTCACACATCCCCATCTTGTGTCTTAGGTCACACTCAGCCAGTACCAGAGAGAAGCAGAACAGAGTCGTGTGGCTCTTCAGAGAGCAGAGGACAGAGCGGAGCAGAAAGAGGTGGAAATCGGAGAGCTGCAGAGGCGCTTGCTCGGAATGGAGACGGTAACTTCTGGAGTCTTGCTGTTCATGCCTAGACTCCTGGGCCGGAAGGTGCCCTGGGATTGCTGAGATGGTTGCCGAGACTCTCCTTTTCTGAGCAGCTCCAGAAAAGTATACGTCACAGCTTCCTTTGGCGAATATCTTTCAGTACCTTTTAGTCCTTAAGGAATGGGAAGGTCTTTCTTTAATCTAACTTCAGCCCTTGCTAACCAGAGTTGAACCCATTTCCATTTTAGTCCAGTTCTTGTACAGCTGCCCTTTATGGGCTTTTGAATAATGTTCTTAAGGAACCACTCGGTCTGGTTCCTTGGGGATTGGCAACCATAGCTGGCAGGTGGGCTGGGATAAAGCAGGGCCAAGCTCTCCTTCTAGGCAGCTGGGTGAGGCTGGGAAGTTTCTGTGTGCTGAGGGTGGGAAGAGTTATCCCTGACATGAGGGCGCCCCATCAAACCAGCTTGGCCTGCTGCTTTTTGGCAGCTGGCCCAGTCCCAGTAGGGGCTGAGTCCCAGCCCTAGTGCCCATTTCACCCCAAATGCAGAAACTCTTGCCCTTTTTTCATCCTAGATTGTCTTTCCTTTGGCCCGTCCAGGAGTATGAGGCCTTACTGGTGAAAGTCAGGGAAGGGGAGACAGCCCTGGAGGAACTTCGAAGCAAGAACGTTGACTGCCAAGCAGAACAAGAAAAGTAAGGGCCCTGGTTCACTATGAAGTTGGGGTGCAGGGAGGGGAGGGCAGGCCACGCAGCCTGCGGCTCCTGTGGTGGCCAAACCTGGGGAGGAAGCTGGTGCTGATGTCAGATCTTCCAGGTCTGACTCACAAGGTATCTGCTCAGGGTGGGGCCTGCCCGGGGAGATACTGCTTGGGAGACTGCCATCTCTGGGGAGTTCGTTTTCCATGGAGTAATAACCTAAAGAAAAGACTTTTACAGTTTCAGAGCCAAGGTCAAGTGAGAGCTGGTAAAGCCTTGGCCCTTGCAGCACCTCATTCCACAGGCTGTTACACTGGATGTGGGTGTGATTTCATTGCACCACAGTCTTCTCCCCGCAAAACAAAAACTGACTGTAAACTATTTGAGGGTAAAATTGAATAACTTCCTCACAAGTTGTGCTGGTGAAAAGTACAGAGAGCATCTTCATGAAGAAATACTGAACTTCCTTTCACTTGAGGCAACTCAGAAACTGAGAACCACCTGACAGCAGTGACAGATAGGAGATCTCTGATATTCTTTCTACTCCAGGGTTAGAGGATTTTGCAAATTCCCTTTGATTAGAGGGAATTAGAGGCCCCAGATCAGTGAAATCTACAGAGCAAAGATTGGGCCATCCTGGACCTTCGAGAATTTGGAAATTCTTCATGCCATTGGCAATTAATAAGATCTCAAATGGTAAATCAAATTTAACGTTAGCATATTATATTTAGTCTTCATTGTATATGTTGGACCTTTATAAATTCAACAGACATTACCTGAAGGGTCTTCTAAGGAATTCCAATATTGTCAGGCACAGTCCTTGCCTTCTTGGATCCCTCAGTGTACTGGGGGCATTTTCTCTCCTTTGGGATAACCTTGATCTAGGCCTGCCTGGCATGGAAGATGCAAATATCTTATTGTAGCCTCCTTTTGGACTCAACTTGATAGCGGTAACTTAAATTACTCAGCCTTCTCTCTTCCTCAGTGGTTGGGGTGCTCACAGGAAGGTGACTGAGAGGAAGGAGTAGGAGAAACAACAAAACCAGATAATCTAAAATCGAGGCTTAGGAATGGCAAATGATAGCTATACATCATAAATGGTGTGGGTTTTTTTTTTTAATAAAAGGAGACTGAAAAATAGGGCACTGGAAAGCTGAGGGTGGAAACTTAGAATGTTTGAAATTTAGGAACTATGTTGGGGAGCTCAGATTGCATTTTACCCCACCCCTACGCCAAGCACTTGAGCTCCTGGACACTCTCCCCAGCCGCCTGACCTTTAGGGATTTTGGCCCAGTTTGCTTAGGAGATGCAAAGGAAACAGCAGTGTCTGGCACTTGGGAGACTTCAATATAGACTTGTGTGAAGAGGCTTTCAGGATCCTCAGATCTTATTTTCCTCTTGATATAAAATCCCTACTAACAGCTTGGTGGTGTTAGGTATAATCATCCCAGCTCCTACTTGATTCTTTCCAGGAATGAGGAGCTCATTACACATGAGGCAGTCCACTTTCTGACAGCTTTAATACTGAGAAGGTCTTTTTGTGTTGAGATAAGAACTACTTCCCTGGAACACCTACCTATTGGGTCTAGTTTTACCCTCTAGAGCTATCTAGAATGACTTCTCCCTTCTAACGTTTCTGAGCCCCAGTTTCTTCGTTTGAACTCAATGATCTCTAGTGATGCTTGCACTGTGCTATTCTAAGGTGCCCCCCACTTCCTCCTTAGAGCAGACCACTGGGGAATCGGCAGAAGGAATCCCACCTGATGGAAACCCCCTGAGCCCAAGGTTCTTCCTGTGACTGGGTAGAGAAAGCATCTTTTCCCCTTGCCTCAGCCTTCTGGTCTTAATCCGCAGGGCTGCTAACCTGGAAAAGGAAGTGGCTGGGTTGCGGGAGAAGATCCACCACTTGGATGACATGCTTAAGAGCCAGCAGCGGAAAGTCCGGCAAATGATAGAGCAGGTAAGCAGAGTCAGATCTTACCCTGCCCTGGGTTACCCACTCTGGAAGTCACTGCACTGAGTCTAGCTCTGTTTTCTTGCCAAGTTTACACTTTTATTTATTTGTTCTCCTGAGGAGCTTGGCTTATGTGCTTAAGTGGCCCATAAAACATTTGTGGCTACCAGTTACTAGGTTTGGATGATTGGGATTTACTTTTCTCCCATCTTTTCTGTACGTTTTTGGTCACTGGCCTTCTGTTTCCTTCTGAAAAAAAGGAAAAAGTGTGTCTCTCTTATGCTCTGAAGAGTGCTGGTAAATGAGTAATTAAGTCACAATAAACTCACTTGTCTGTGTGCGGATTATCAACCTTTGTACCTCATGGCAGACTTTCTGCCTTCCCCCGCCTGGGCTTTAGGGTAGCATACTCAGGATATGCCCATTTGCAGAATTGTTTTGAGAACTTAAGACCCCCTCATTGGGAGGGCATATTTGCTGTAAGTCAGCTCCATGAGGGCTGGGATTTTTCTGTTCTTTACTGCTATTTCCCATTGTCTAGACCAGGGCCTGCCATATGGTAAGCACTTAATAAATATTTCTTGAGTGAATAAATAATTTGTGTTTCCCAAAGTCAAATGGAATGTTTTTTGAATCAGCCATTATTTTGCATTATCACGTTGGTGTTCCCCTCACACCCTCTACCCCCACACCTGGGATAATGAAGAGTTTAATATTGATTGAAATGAGGCTTCTATAGAAAAGCTAAGCAAGTCATTTGAGAGGTGCAAAACTCTGCCTTTTGTCTCTGCTGGCTACCCCCAGCAGCAGGGTGAAGTTCGGTGAGTGTGTAGTGAGTCATTTCAAAATGAGCTCCAATGTCTCGCACATCTTTGCAGCTCCAGAATTCAAAAGCTGTGATCCAGTCAAAGGACACCACCATCCAGGAGCTCAAGGAGAAAATTGCCTACGTGGAAGCAGAGGTGTGTGCACTGGCAGCCCTGGGAAGGGAGCAGGGTCTTGAAGAGAAGATTGGACGTAAGGGAGGGAGAGGCTCTGGAGGGGATCTTGGTCCTGTCTAGCTGCTGCTCGGAAGTGAGTATCTGGGATGGTTGGTTGATCTTCAGTTCAGCTGAGTAAACATTTTCTGAGAACCTTCAGGGAGTTGCTAACAATGGTAAGTCCTGTCCCCACTCTGAAGGGATATATCATCATGGTGCAAGCCTTGTACCATGGCAGCATGGAGGCGGGCCCTTCATTCTGATTATATAGGCTTAGCAGAGGGGCTGACAGTGGAGCTGGGCTTTGGAGGAGGAGGCATTCTATAGGTGGAGTCTTCTCCGTGGCTAAGGTGATGGGCTCAATTAGCTAAAGAGTTCTTCTTAGTCTAATTTCTGCCTTACCTCAGAGCCCTTCCTGTCCATTGACTACCTGAAGATTGCTTTGCAGCCACCGTGTGAAGATCCCTTGTAGTGGGGGAGATAAAAAGAAATCAGAGACAGCATTGTTTACCTCTAGGGAGTTTGCAGTCTAGATTTAGAGACAAAATACATTAAAATAAAAGACCTAAGATTACTTTCTAGAAAAGCAAATCAACAAGGCAAGTAAATATCTCAGTTGACTACAGGAAATTATATACAGGAAATGTATAGAGAGGATATACAGGAAATGATCAGTGTTGCACAGAGCTATTGAGCGAACACCTCCTCAGGGAGAGACGCTGGAGCCAGTACTGGAGGAAGAGAGCAATCTGAAGTGGTGAAGATGAGGGGACAGGGCATCCTGGTGGTGGCACATATGGCAGGGGTGGGGGCGGCAGCAGTGCAGACACAGAGGTGGAGAGACCAGAATGAGCTAGTTAAATGTGACAATGGCGAGCCAGAAGAAGGCCAATTCTAATGTCACAACTTGTATCATAGAATTTAGAAATGCACGACCGGATAGAACACCTGATAGAAAAACAAATCAGTCATGGCAACTTCAGCACCCAAGCCAAGACAGAGAACCTGGGCAGGTAAGTGGGCATGCATGGAGTGGGGCGCAGGGAGGCAGTGAGGGAAGGAGGGGCAGAGCTGTGGGAAACCTTTGGTGCTAAGGCAAGGACAAGGCGCTTTTTCTATCTTCTTCTTCTTCTTCTTCTTTTTTTTTTTTTGTGAGGAAGATCAGTCCTGAGCTAACATCCATGCCAATCCTCCTCTTTTTGCTGAGGAAGACTGGCCCCGAGCTAACATCTATTGCCAATCCTCTGCCTTTTTTTTTTTTCCCCCTTTTTCTCCCCAAAGCCCCAGTAGATAGTTGTATGTCATAGTTGTACATCCTTCTAGTTGCTATATGTGGGACGCTGCCTCAGCATGGCCGGACAAGTGGTGCCCGGTATCCGAACCTGGGCCACCAGTAGCAGAGCGCGCATATTTAACCACTAAGCCACGGGGCCGGCCCCAGGACAAGGCTCTTTTAAATCCAACTTTGTTCTCTCAGTCTAATCTGACCAATTCTCCACCCAAACCATTTCGTAACCAAGTTAGAGCAGAGCCTGATACCACAACCCTAAGGAGGCTCGTGAACAGCTGCTAGAGGTGTATGAACCCCCTAAAATTGTATGCAAAAATTGTGTATGTGTAATATATGTACATTTCTAGGGAGAGGGCCTTTGATTTCCAAGAGATTCTCAAAAGTCCAAGACTTTGAAAAAATCAAGAATCACAGCCATACCTACTTGTCAGTTGTGTAACTGCCTTCTCTCTTTTCATCACCCCTGCCACCAGGCAAAGTACCATCCCCAAGTCTTCTCTTAGATGTCACTGACAATGACTGTTTCAAAGCATTTGGAACCCAAGAGATCAGCTGGGATAGAAGTGTAGAATTCCAGAAGGAGACATGGAGGGCGGCTGTGTGAGGGGTGGGCAACAACACAGCACTCAATTTTCCAACTTTCTTTTCAGCATTAGGATATCCAAGCCCCCCAGCCCAAAGCCCATGCCTCTCATCCGAGTGGTGGAAACATGAGCGGAAGGAGATGGACGCTGCTTTTGCCGTTGCCTGTCGCCTGCAGAGAAGCCCACCACCCCTGTAGGCTGTTAGCACTGGTTTTGACTTCCTGAACTGTTCCCTGGCTACACTCAGGGCTTGGGGTTCATGTATCCCGCCGTTTCCAAACTCCTGTCCTCTGTATGCTGGGCGGACGGAGAATGGACGCCTCCTCTGGACACTGCAGCCTTTTGGAGGACGGTATCCTGTTGGCAGGAGCCAGGGCGGTATCCTTATTCCTGTAGTTACTATTCTTCTCTGTAGCAGAGCCTCCCTTGTGTTGTAGACTGGAATTCAGCTGCCCCAGAAGCCAGACCCTCTTCATGTCGGGAGAGGGGACAAGATTTGCTTCAGCCCTAGAAGCTGGAAGCAGATGTCCACAGTGATTGGAGAGTGTCCTGGGGGAATGAACTTCCTTCTGCAAACACGGCTCAGCTCTTAGCAACAAACTGTTTTTCTGCTTGCTCCACCCTCAGCCCACGCTGACCCAGGCCTCCTACCGATAGACGGTGGGGCTGCCTGTCATGGCCTGGTCAGAGTCAGTGAACCTCAACTTTGACTGGACGGCCTTGTTTTCCTGGGGAGAAGGGAATGGACAATCAGGGAGTAGATTTTAGAAGAAAGATTCTGTAGGGGCACGGACAGGTACATGTGACTTCTCTCTGCTGTGAAGACTCCCAGAATCTCTTAGGGTTTTCCCCTAAGATGCAGTGCAAGGTACACCTCAGTCTTCTTGACTCAGAGCCTAAAAACTGTTTTCACTGGGTTTCATCAATCTCCGTGAAACTCTGCTTGTATTTATTTTGCTAAGTTATTGGTGTTTTTGCTTACATCTCACTACTGATTTAATACCAGAGTTCTACAGCCTTCTCTTGTGGTGTTTGGATTTGCTGGGAAAAGAATGTTCCCACTGGACTTGTTGATTTCAGAATGACTTTGTTATAAATCTTTGTCTTTCTTTCCTCCGCTTGCTTTTTTCACTTCCTCCTCCAAACCTGATCTGTACCTCAGGAAGGCAAGTATATTTGCCCTGAGGCATCGGGGTCTGTATGTTGTTTACGGGCAGGACTCTTGGGGAGGGGTTGAATTCTTCCCCTAACCCTTTTGCACCCCTCTGCTCCATAATCTGTCTGTTATCCTGGCTCTGAATGACTTGCCACTCATGTTTTCTTTAGGGCTCTTCCTGCAGCCTCAAGAAGGAGATAAGCATCAGAATGTGGCACTATAGGACACAGAAAAATTAAGAACAAACGTTGGATTAAGTCTTTACGTTCTACTTGGCTCAAAACCAGAAGGCTTAGTCTGTGTGTTTCTGTGTCTCAGGACTGGGCTCACTTGTGGCTTTGTCCATGTGGTATTCTGGTGTTCTTCACGCAACTTCCTCATTTGTAACACGAGGAGTCAGACCGGGTGATCTCCGTGGGCCCTTCCAGTCCTGATCTTTCTTTCTGTGGCATATTCTTTGTATGGTGAAGGTAATAAATTACGCTAATGTGTCTCTTTGAGCTCTTGGCCTCGTTTCTTTTCACTTTGGGAGGATGAAAGAACATTTTTAGTGTCTCTTGAGGATGGGCACCCTGTTGTCCACGTCTGGGAGGTGTAGTCCAGACATCCCAACATTATGTTGTGAGGACTTTGTGGCATTTGGAGGAGTTAGCATGTTCCTCTTAAGCAGCTCGACTCTGTGGTCTGAGTCCTCATTATAGGAGGTAGCCCCTAACTTTAGCTTTGACCCTGTCTGGTGGTAGCCTTGTGGGATCTCTAAGCTTGGCCGGTTGGTGTCCTCCTCAGTTGGAAAAGAACTGGTCAGAGTCAGAAGTCCCTGTGATTACTTCGAGATTGACTGATCAGCACTGGAGGTAGATAAGTAATTCCATGTCCTTTTCAGAAATGAAAAGCACTATGGAAATGCTGACTGCAGCTGTTTAAGGGTTTAGTTTTTGGCTATCTCTGGGCATTGTTCAATTAGTCCAATGATACTTTTTTCTTTCAGCCAAGAATGCTGTTGACTGCAGGGCCCAACAGGGACATAGCTGAATTTAGACGAATCTTCTCTGGACCAAAGAAACTAGAAATAGAACCCCCTTCATCCCTGGCTATTTCCTTTCTAGCTCCCCTTTCTCCATCAGTTGAAACAATGTGAATTTTTCTCTTATGATTTTCTTCCCCCTTCTGTTTCTCAGCTAATTCACACCCTAGGCTTCAGAGTGCAGTGGAAACCTCCTCCTGTTCCAGGCCTGAGTTTGTCTTCTGACAGCCAGGGCTCTCTTCTTTCTCTGGCAGTCTTATTTGTCATGGGCATACCTAGACTGTGCTTGTTCTCAGAATATTAAGAGGGTGGAAGGAGGGTGGGGTTGCCTAAGGTGCCAAGAAGACTTGCAAGGCTGAAGGAAGACGGGAGTGAGTCTACCGCCATACAGGAAAGGGAGTCCCTCTAACTGGGCCTCAAGGGCTTGGTGGGATGAGCAGAGTTTCGGGTTAGAGATAATGAAGTGGTCTGGAGCCATTCTGGAGACTAGACCCAGGGCTCTCAAGAGATTGCTCAGACAAAAAAAAAGTGGTTCTGGTGTATATTTCCCAGAGTTTAGTTGAATCAGTGCTGGAAGGAGTAGGGGCTTGCCACAGAGGCTAAGGAGGGTCTGTGGGAAGGGAAGGTAGTTGAGGGGAAGGTAGTTTATATCTTGGCAACCTTTTCAGTTAGAGATGGAGAATGGGGACCGGAGGAGAATGAGACAGAGCCCAGAGCCTGAGAAAGGGTATGGTGAGTAAGCTGCTCCTGACTTCAGCAGCCTGTTTATTGCCTGTGTTATGTCATTTGTAAGCCAACTCATCTGTGCTGCTTGAATATTCTGTGGAGGGAAAATTGAGTCTGACTCCCTGGGACCTTTGCCATGAAGTCCTGTTTCTCTGCGTTGCCCAGACATGCAGCCGTCATCAGCAGCCTCCTGTAAACCTGGAGCGTCAGCCCCGGTGTGGGAATAGAAGCTTGCCAGGAGCACTCCTTGCCCCCTGAACAACCACCCCCGTCCTCCCACCTCTGCATCTGTCCCCTCCCTGAACAAAAAAAAACCTGATAGAGACTTTGGTATTTCAACCAAATGGTGCACTGGAACTTTTTTTAAAGTAAGTTTCTAAATCCAAAAATTGATTGGCTCATTTTCATCTCTATTTAAAAGAACCTTTCACTATGAAATGTTCCAAGTTTTGCTCTGGAAAGATGCTCTGACATGATGCGGTTTAAAGCAACTTAATTTGACTGAGGAGGGTAATGTCCCTTGGGGTGGAAAAGCAGCTTTCCCTCTTTGATCAGCTCTTCAATATGTGCTGCTGTTTTTTGTAGAGCCTCTGCTAATCCCCTGAGCTCCCTTATTCCTCAGTGCCAAGCGCTGTAGAGTTGGGCCTGAGCTTGTTCAGGCTCTGACCCAAAAGCAGATGTTAGCCTGGGGCCCTTGGCCTCTTTTCCACGCTTCGATTTAGGACTCTAGCTTTGCAAGGAAAAATTGTTTCCTATCTTCCCTGTCCCAGTTCTAAGCCCCATGGCCTTGAAATTCAAAGTTGGAGACCTGGATATTCTCTCACCCCTCTTTCTCCAAGGAAAATCCTCATCCAGGCTGAGGATAAAGGAGATATTTTTTAAAGGTGAGCAATTTCTAGCTCTGTGTGCTCTGTGAGTTGGCAGTGAGACCTTCTTTGAACTCTAAAATGTGTGTGGCCTTTCTGCTGGAATCTCTCTTCCCCTGGAGCCCTTTGGGACATGGGATCGAGGGTAGATGGTGGCAGGATAATTAATTTCCTGACAGGGTATTGGTTGCCAAGTCTTAGACCGCAGGATCTCAGACAGATGAGGGGAAGGAAGTCATTTGTCCTCATGACTTAATCTATCACTGGTTACACACCTAGGCCCTTCCTTCCTCTCACTCATATTCCAGGCCCAGACTTGCGTCTGTCTGCGGGAGTTTAGGGAATCGTATATCTATCTATATGATTTTGTGTTCAAACTAGCCTGCTATGTAAAATGTATTGTTATAGGAAAAAATTCGGAAAAATACTGGTGTTTAGGAAAAACTCCATTTTTCACCTGTGTTTCCTGTTTACTACTCACACAGAACACTTCTAGTCACCAAATATGTGGAGGTTTTCCCCACACCAAGCAATTCTGCGACACCAGCTGGGTGTCCTACAATTTGACTCAATTCTGACACCATCTACCTAGAGATAAGGTTAAGGGTTCAGTCCCACAGGACTGCCCCCCCCCCCACTTCAGATGCCAATTGCAAGTAGTAGGTCCCCAGGTTACCCATTTCTCTCTGACTTGGCTGCAAATCAGAGGTTCCCATGACCCCTCCTTAGGTTCGATTAATTTGCCAGAGAGGCTCACAGAACTCAGGGAAACACTTTTTCCAGAAACATTTACCAGTTTATTAAAGGATATGATAAAGGATACAGAGGAACAGCAAGATGAAGAGATACATAGGGTGAGGTCTGAGAGGGTCCTGAGCACAGGAGCTTTTGTCCCCATGGAGTTGGGGTACATCACCCTCCCGATATGTGGATGTGTTCACCACCTGGAAGCTCTCCGAACCCCATACTATTGGGATTTTATGGAGGTTTCCTCATGTAGGCATGATCAATCATGAACAACTCCATTTCTAGCCCCTCTACCCTCTCTGGAGAAGTGGGGGCAAGGCTGAAAATTCCAAGCTTCCAATCGTGGCTTGTCTTTCTGGTGAACAGCCCTCATCCAGGAGCCCACCCAAAGTCACCTCAGTAGAACAAAAGATGCTCCTAGTGCTCTTATCTCTTAGGAATTTACAGGGGATTCAGGAGCTCTGTGTCAGGGACGGGGTCAAAGAGCAAATATTAGAACAAAAGATGCTCCTTGTGTTCTTATTACTTAGGAAATTACAAGGGTTTCAGGAGCTCTGTGCCAGGAACTGGGAACAGAGACCAATATATATATATTTTCTGCTATCTCACAACTGGTCTATCGGACAGACCTCTCTCCTTGGATCTATTGTAATCTCAGGGTCAGGAGGACTGAAGATAACTTCCTTCAAAACTATCTCCTGTTTTCAACCTCTCACACTTTCTCTTAATAGAGAGAATCACTCTTTTCAGTGATTCAGGCTAGAAATTTTAAAGCCATCTTTGACGCTTCTTTCTATTGCTTTATCCCTTATATCCAGTTTGTCAACATATCCTAATGTTTCCTCTTGAAATCTCTCTCAGATTTGCCCCTTGCTGTGTTCACAGTCACGTCTTAGCCCATTTTTTTAAACCTGGATTACCATAGAAGCTAGTCCTCACTGATCCCCCACCTCTAGTCTAACCTGCCCCAAATCCAGCTTCCTCACCACTGTCATTTGAATCTTTCCCAAATACTATTTGCATCCTCTCAGTTGGGGTTATTTAGCTAAAGGAGGCCGATGGGAAACATGATAGCAGCCTCCAAAGAGATGAAGATCTGTCCCATAGGAGGAGGAGGGTTTTACTCTATCTAGCTCAGAGGGCAGAACTCAGACCTGTGGGTGGTACTTGCAGGGAGATAGCTAAGAAACAAAAGAATGCATTGACACTTAGGGTGTCAATTGGACTTCTTGTCAAGTTAGCAAATTTCCCTCCATACACCAGTAATATCCCATTAGAAAACAACCTAAAATAATGTAACAAATATAAAATACCTAGAAATAAACTTTGAAATGTCAATGATCTGTGTGAAGAAAATGACTGAATTTTGTTGAGAAATATGGGAAAACTTCATGAAGAAAAAGTTAAAATTGTAAAGATGTCAATTCTTCCTTAATTTATTTTTATGCTTCTTGTAATTACTGTGAAAATCCCAATAGAGTCCTTTTAGAATTGGATATAATTATTTTAAAATTTATCTGGAAGAATAAACAAGGGAGATGGCAAAGAAAATTTTGAAGACAGAGCTTAATTGGGAGGAATATTGGCCTTGGCAGATAGTAAAACATGATATAGCTTATACATCAATTTCACAGACTAGCTACGCAG